TACAGGTGAGGTATTGATGCACAGAAGGGTTGAGTAACTGGTAAAGGTCATAGCTAGTAACTGGCTGACTGGAATTGGGGCTTTAGCAGTTTCACTCTAAAGCAGTGGTTCTCAACTCTACCTACATATTTGAATTACCTATGGAATTTAAAAATAATACAGATGCCCGAAACTCACCTTAGACCAATCAAATCAGTTTCTGGGAATGGGACCCAGCTGTTGGTAGTTTTAAAAAGGCTTTCCAGGGATTATAATGTGCAGCCAAAATTGAGATCACAGCTAGTTCTCTATACTCTTAATCAGTACTCTGTTCTGCTGCCAAGATCAGCTTTGTGGGTGTACAAGGAGGGAGTTAAGGTATAATATCCTATGAATTGAGCAGGAACTTTGAAACCAAAAAACTGAAGCAGGCGATTTTATACAGTTTACAAAGAGTTTTATTAAAGGGTAACTTACATAAGGGGAGGTCGCACATGGTGAAGAATCAGATGTCTACAGCAGATGAGGGCTCTAGCTTTCTAGCTTCAGACAAAGCTTATGTAGCAAAAGCAGTGTTACCAAAAATAATGTCAAAGAAACAGCGTAAGAAAAATAAGTTGATAACATCACTTACCAGTTGTCCTATGATCTATGAAGCAGAGGTCTTGTGTGATGCTATGGTGCAGATTTCCTGACCCCACTTGCTGCATAAGTCGTCTACTCTCTTAAAACTATGCTCCTGTTTACACCTGCCCAAAGGTTACTACATAACTAGCCAGTGAAACAAAGGAGAGAGTTCAAGCGGGCATCAGCATGGCAGGTGGGATCAAAGATGGAGTCAGTCCTGTTCACTGTCCAACACTGTCCAACAGTGGGTCAATAATTGTCCTCTACTGCTTTAGCTCCATTCTCCTTCCTCTTCTAGTTGTCATGTTTTCTAGTACTTTGTATCTACTGCCTGGAATTTCTCTTAGACCTCTGGCATTAAGACTTGAGTGTGGACTATTGAGAATGGAAGGGATTGAAATCATTTTTTATATTAAGGCTTTCTTGGTATTTTGCAGAGGAATTTAAATTTTTGATCCCCAGGACCAGCACTGAGGAAGAATTTTTTTTTTGTAAGATCTGGTATTTAGCTCAGAGAATACTGGTTAAGGTAGGTTACCATAGCCAGGTTACTTTATTTCTTTAGCGAGTCCCAGACTATCTAAGGAGGGAGTTTTTTTGGTTTTTAATTAATTAATTAATTATTTTTTATTCTTATTATTTATCATTACACAATGTAATCATTTTTTGTGGCCCGAAGGAGTTTTTAACAACCGGATTCTTGGTCTTCCACCCCTGCCTTCCTTTGTGACTCAGTAAGTCTGTGATAGCGCCTGGGAATGTCATGGAAACACACCTAGAGTGTTCTGACTTCTTACCTAAGATGAATTGTGAACACTTTTATTTATTTCAACTCTTGTGGATAATCTCAATTTTGAAGTTGATCAGGATCAGAACCATTACCTACTATTATAATGATTTATTTTAAAATAGACAGGAAGGAGGGGGGGTGCAGGGGAACTCCCCAGGTGATTCTGATGACTGATTAGATTTGAAACCACTGACTTAGATGTTTGTGTGCACGTCTCTCTTCCCTGGTGGGCAACAGATTTTCCCAGGAAGTGTTTTGTCCACCGTCTTTTTAGGATATAGAGAAGAATTGTATCTGAAAACCTGTTGCTTTTCCCACAACATATTTTCTGAAATGGAGTACTTTCTTTTATGTCAGATTTCCTTCTTAACCTGGTGAATACCTTATCCAGAAGTGGGAAGGGGATTTTCTTTCCTAATCGTGATCTTTCTGTTTTACACATCTGCTTTCACTGAAAATCTACTTGATTCTCCTCTTCCACAGTCAACCATTCCAAATTTTGACCATTTGAACCAAAGATTGGAAAACTGTTTGTGTAAAGGACCATATTGTATTTTAGACTTTGCAAGCCATATGGTCTCTATCACATTTACTTAGCTCTGCGATTGTAGCACAAAAGCAGCCATAAATGATATGTATTTTAGGGACACTGAAATTTGAATTTCATCTAATTTTTATGTTACAAAACAGTCTTTTGATTTTTTAAAAAATGTAAAATTTAAAAAAAATTTATAAATTTTAAAATTTGCAAATTTTTAAAATGTAAAAAAATTTCATCTAATTTTTATGTTACAAAACAGTCTTTTGATTTTTTAAAAAATGTAAAATTTAGAAAAATTTATAAATTTTAAAATTTGCAAATTTTTAAAATGTAAAAATTTTTAAAATTGATATTTTAAAAATGTAAAAAATATTTATAGCTTATTGGCTGTGGGAAAACAGGCAGCAGATCGGATTTGGTCTGTGGACCATAGTTTGCCAAACTCTGATTTATACTAATCAAAACAGTCTTAAAATTGACTTATATAACAATTGATGACTATTGTTTCAACTTCAGAAACCTGGTTTGAGATTCCTTTAGAAATTAAACTCAGTTTCACTTGCAATTCAGCGAGATAACTTATTTAATAATCTTTTTTTCACTTAAAGTATTGTGGAGCTCCAGTCTGTACTCCAAGCCTGTCTGCCTCATTATTCAAAACATATTTGCCCCATTTTTTCCTGAAGTTCCTTCCTGATACACTCTTCATTTCTTTTAGATGTGGGGCACTTCATTTGGAAAGTTGATGTTCTTTTAATTATCTCTGCCCCTGAAGCTGGTCTGTCTGCCTCTCTATTTCTAAACATGGGGAGAGTTGGAGGGAGGCTTCAGACCTAATTCCAGTCCTAATTCCCAGCCAAAATCTTAGATGAATAAAAATTGCATACTTTTTACTTACCTGTAACTGAAATGTAACATCCCTTTCAATTATAAATGTAGGCAACAAACATCAGTAGTGTCTTCATCTGTTAGGGCTGCTGTAACAAAATACATAAACTGGGGAGCTTATAAACAACAGAAATTCTTTTCTTACAGTTGAGTAGGATGGGAGTACAAGATCAAGGCACTGGCTGATTTGGTGTCTTGTGAGAGCCCATTTTCTCATAGATGGCAACTCTTCACTGTGTCCTCACATGGTTGAAAGGGTAAAGCAACTCTCTGGGGCCTCCTTTATAAGGATTTACCTCCCAAAAGGCCCCACCTCTAAATACTATCACACTGGGGGTTAGGATTTTAACATGAATTTCGAGGGAAACAAACATTCGGACCATAGCAAGTAGTATCAACAAAAATCACAAAGATGTTCGTATCATAGATACCTCTTTTATACTCATCATTACTTGGAAATTATAGTATTTATTAGACTTGTTGCAAATATTATTTAATACATTAATAAAGAAGCACATATTAGTGTATTATGAATTTATTTTTTTTAATCTTAGAAGCATTTTAGTATAACTGAGTTTCTTTGTAAGCCTGTGTATTTTATTTCATATATTTTAAGACATTATGGAGGAGTCCATTGTCTTTACTACTCTGCCTATGGGTCTGCTGCACAAAAAAAGTTAAGAACACATACCCAGGGCCTGATTCATCCCTCCGTCCTTCAATTCATTCTCCCACTTCCACCTTCCCCACCCCCACCCCTAGCTTTTCTTCTCTCTCCTCATTTTTTCTCCTCAAAGGCTAGATCCCTTCTCTCAGGGCTTGCTCCCTTCCCTCAAGGCTTGGTCCTTCCTTCCCTAAGATAATTTATTTACTAATGGATCACAGCCTGTGGTTTATAAAATATTGAGTCACACTGAATATAAAAATAATTGTGAATGGTAAAGTTCTATATATAATGTGTCATGTTACTTTATAACTTTTCTTAGGGCTGGTCCTGTACTTACTCTTCATATGTATAAATTACCACTTTATGTTTGCAAAGGTGATTTATCATTTCAGGTGATCTCAACCCATCTGCTCTTCCAGGAGACCCCATAGTGATGATTTATTGTGATCAGGCTGATAAGCAAATAGCCTTAGTTCTCAATAGAGAGGGAAGAGGACAAATGTGTTCTCCTGCCACCCCCCCACCGCACGTCCTCCCTCTCCCTCTCATTCCCCCTTCTCTCTCATTCCTTACCCCTCTTGTGTCCCTCCCCCATTCGTTCCCCTCCTCACCTCATTCTGTAGTAATTCATTCTTATTATGGTTAATTGCTTACCTTTTAATATTACCTTCTTGGCCAGTTTTTTTTTTTTTTTTTAAGATTTGAACAAGCAGAAAATATTTAATCTGCAGAAAGAGAGAACAGGTATTTCTTGCATGCTTTTTTAAAAAATTAGCATATTCATTGTTACTAATCATACTTATTCTTTATGCCCCTTATCCAATCTCTCTCCTCCCCTGTCTAATAACCATAGATTTGTTCTCTCCATCTGATAGATTAACTGTTGCTCTGTTTGTTCGTTGTCTAGATGATCTGTCCAGTGCTGAGGCAGGTGTGACCAAGTCCTTCCCTATTATTGTAAATCAGATGCTTCTTCTGTTACTCATGAGTGTGCTTTGTGGAGAGAGAAGACCTGTTCTTTTTCTTTTTTTTTTTTTTTTTGTTTTGGTTGCCACTGGTGCCTCTCCTTGTGTCAGTGCAGTTCAGAGTCTGGCGTGCCATCTGCATGGTGGCTGTGACTACAGCTATAGAGACTAGCTGCTTTTGTGGCAATCATGGCAATTGGGGTGGCTATGGTGGGCTTCCTGCGTGGAAATGGTGTTTTTGGTGTACTCTTTACCTGGTTGTGGCTGGGTTCCAGCTTCACTGAGATCTGTGCCTTAGGACTCTGGCGGGGCCTGAGGCGGTGGCGGCAGCTTGCCTAGTTATGGCTGGGTTCGGCTTCCCCTGGCTCCATGTCTCAGGCCCCCAGCTGGTCCTCTTGGCCAGTTTGATATTGAATGTTTTCATTCTTTTTTGTGAAGTTGGATCAAAAGAAATCTCATCCGAGATCAGCGAGTTAAATTGTTTTCTCCTAAGTAAAACAAATTAATTATAATCCTAATATAGTAATATTCTTTACGTTTTAGTTGACAAAGAGATGATGCAAAAAATAAGAGAAAAATCTATTTTACAAGCACAAGAGAAAGCAAAAGAAGCTATGGAAGCAAAAGCTGCAGCAAAGAGGGAAGATCAAAAATATGCACTAAATGTCATGATGAAGGTAAGTTGCAGATTGACAGGAAAGTCTTCTAAAGAGGTAATAGTAAACTATGTAAGGATAATTAGTTCCAACCACTGTATTTCCTTAGCATTTTCTTCATACTTGGGTTATAGTATGAACTATCTGCTACCACGTGTTCCTGAAAATCTGCATGAAAGTTGAGGGTATAAAAGTTGGATGATAGATTTACTTGTTTCAGGAAGAGGTGTTCTAATTTTAGGGGAGTAGAAAAATTATAAAGTTTCTATGATGTGCGTGTTCTAACTTTTAAAAAAATCTTCGAATAATGGACACAATTGTTTAAAACAAAAAAAGCATACATTAAACCCTAAATATTGACAGATTAATTCCTTTTTAACTGTTGAAACATTCAAGTGAAAGCTTTTATCAGTAATACATTTTTTGAGATATAATTAATGTACCATACAATTCACCCATTCGAAAGTGTACAATTTAGTGGTTTTGACTATTACCTGTCAATTTTAGAACATTTTCATCACCCCCAAAAGAAACGCAATGCCCATTAACAGTCATTCCTCATTCCTGTAAACCCTAGTTGTAGGTAACTAGTAATCTACTTTCTGTCTCTATAGATTTGCCTACTGTAATTTTTACAAGTAATTTCTTATCTCAAATTCTCTTTTGAACATCTTGAAGTGATTAAGGAATCTATAATAAGCACTATCTTATCAAGAGCTCTATGGACGCAGGACTCTTCTTTTGCATTTGCATCACTTGTATTTGTTTTTTATAATCAGCAGTTCATGATTCCAAAAATTTCTCCACTTCTTTTATCACCTCTACTTGACTTTTAAATATAGCTTATGGTTACATGCCTTGTCTTTTACTTAGTAATCAGCTGGCCCAAGACTCCTGCCTTCAGTATATTTGATGATTTTCATCTTTTCTTGATTGTTTTATCACAGATATCAGCCTTTTGATTTTATCATTTTCCTGAATTTAAAAAAAATAAAAGCAAAATAATCTAAAACTTTTGGTAATAGGTAAATATTTAATGAACTAATAAAATAGTTAAATAATGGCACGGATACTGCTCTATTGATAAATATGACAAAACTGAACAATTGACTGGCAGGCAGCACCACCATGCTACTCTATCTTGATGTTATTAGGCTACTGATGAATGAAAGCCTGACTTTGATATTTGGAAAGTTGGTTTAGGAGCATTTATGTATAAAATATAAAGATGTGGATTACATTAAAGTGGATAGAACTTATGAAAGCCTGTAGCCTGTATGCAAACTGTCTGTTTTTTTCCTTCCCTCAGTAGTGCTGAGAGTTGGTACTATGTTTTCTTTCATCTTTATTATACTCATTTCCAAGTAGATGATAGGTGCTCAAATACTTGAATCAATTAAAATGGATACAATGCTCTAGTAACATGTACTCATAGCAAAATTCTACTTTGATGGATAACTGAAGCTATTTTTACTCTGTCTAATCTTAGACACTTTTCAGAAATGAACTTTGATGAACCAATAATAGTAGATGAAGAGATATGAAAACAAAACAAAAGGCAACCTGTTATTAACCTAAACAATTTACCAAAAGTAGTAGTTTTTAAGTGGTCTCATTTTAAAAATAATCAGCAGAGTTAGAGCTAAGACGCTCTATGTCAGTTTGCTATGCTGTGTGTGTTAGTCTGCTCAGGCTGCCATAACAAAATACTGCAGACGGCATGGCTTACCCAACAGAAATTTATTTTCTCATTGTTCTTGAAGCTAGAAGACCCAGATCAAGGTCTGGTAGGGTCTCTTTCAGGTGGTGTTCTCTTCCGGTTTTGCAGGCCTTCCTGCTGTGTTCTCATTTCTCATTGTTCTTGAAGCTAGAAGACCCAGATCAAGGTCTGGTAGGGTCTCTTTCAGGTGGGATTCTCTTCCGGTTTTGCAGGCCTTCCTGCTGTGTTCTCACATAGCAGAGAGAGAGCGCACAAGTGAGCTCTGTTGTGAGGACAATAATCCTATTAGATAAGGGTCCCACTCAAATAGCCTCATTTAACCTTAATTCTTCCTTAGAAGCCCCATCTCCAAATAGAGCCACACTAAGGGTTAGGGCTTCAACATATGAATTTTGGAGAGACACATTCAGTCTATAAAACAGTGTAACAAACCATCCAAAATTTAATGCCTTAAAACAACAAACATTTATTTCTTAAGATTCTGTGTGTTGTTTAGGTAGTTCTTATGATTTGGGGCTGATTCAATTGTGACTGGATGTTCTAGGATGGCCTGACTCACATGTCTAGAGCCTTGACTATCTGAGCTGGAGCCTCTTTCCATGTGGTATCTCATCCTTCAGGAGCCTAGCCCAGGCTTCTTTCCTTGGTAGTCTTAAGGTTCCCAGTATCAAGAGAGGGAAAGCCCTAATGCACAAGCGCTTTTAAAGCCTTTGCTATGTCATATTTGCTAATGTCCCATTAGCCAAAGCAAGTCACATAGCCAAGTCCAGATTCAAGAATGGGAGAAATAGTTTATACCTCTTCTTGGAAAGAGGGATTAAATCACATCTCAAAGGTGTATGCATATAGGGATTGGGGGAATTTGTGGCCATTTTACAATTTACTCAATTTGTTTGAGTTGAAAAGAGCAGGGGTCAAACAATAAAGAGAATTAGACTCATCTAGCAGAAAAAGTTCAGAGATGGACTAGTATGGTTAAATCAAGGATCTGACTCTATCTGTTTGCAGTATATCCCTAGCACTGCCTTTTCTTTGCTTCGTCCTTTGGTGTATAGTGAGATGATTCACCTCTGCACTTAACAGGGCCCAGAGGAAGATAAGCCACCTATTCTTTTGACTGCCTTTTAATCCCCGTAAAACAATTGCTTCAGATATTGTAGAATTGTCGTAACAATGATAATCATGTTCATATGAATCTTACTTTAAGTCTTTATTGCTTCAAACTTGGTTTACTGCATTATCTTCTCTGTATCCTTGCTGCTGATCTATCATTCATTCATTCATTCAACAGACATTTGTTGAACACTGTGAAAGGTGCTGAGACAACTGAAAAAGCTAGTGTTCACTGTCAGTTTACCTATAGTCTATAGAGGGTGACAGACAATAAAAATCAAAGATTACACCAAGTATGCATAAGGGATCATTGGAGAATAAAGAGAAAACACTGGCAAAAGATTGGTATCTCAGCCTCAGAGTATGGTCAGGAAATTTGAGGCAGCGTTGTTTGTGCTGAATCCTAGAGAGTTCTGCAGTTAACTGGGAAATAAATGGGAAAATGTCATTAGAGACAGCTTGGATAATTGTATGACAGAATATGGTACAGTGAAGGAATATTTATTGGTCAGGAATAAAATCTTAAGATACTGAAAAATTTCTTGAAGGGATTCTTAAGGGATTTTTAGCATGAATGTAAAATTAATTGGGTTTTATTTTAGAAAGGTCATTCTGACTAATGAGTTTGAAGAGGTTGCAGGGTAGAGGCAGAGGTTTTGTATTTTTAAGATGGAAGGATTTTGAGCATATATAGTGTTGAAGAAAGCCAGTAAAAAGGGAGAGGTTGGTAATTCAATCAAGAAAGGGTATTAATGATGAAGCAGTTTTCTTGTGGTGGGATAAAGGTAGGAACAGGTGAAAAAATTAGTCGTAGGTAACGGAGATATTTTATCTTTTGACACTAGAGGGCAGGAACAAGGAGCAAATTCATAAGGTTTGGAAAATTCTTAGGCAAACAGATAGTTAAAGGAATCCTTTGTTTTCTGTCCTCCTGCATTCCCCTCCCCTCTCCTTTTGACTTTCTCAGCTATCTGTCTTCTACTTTTACATGTTTAGCATTTTCCCTGTAAACCTATTTTATTTTTATTTATTATTTTTTATTGGTTTATAGTTGATTGTACATATCTGTGGGGCACAGCATTGAATATCAACACCTGTGAGCAATACGTGATGTTCAAATCATGATAATTAGCATACTCAACATTATACAATCTAATTGATTTTCCATTATTTTTTATTGGTTTATAGTTGATTGTACATATCTGTGGGGCACAGCATTGAATATCAATACCTGTGAGCAATACGTGATGTTCAAATCATGATAATTAGCATACTCAACATTATACAATCTAATTGATTTTCGTAGCCCTTTACTAATTCCTCCCTTACTCCCCCTTTCCCTCCTCCTTTCCCACCTCTGTTAGCCTCAGTTCTGTTCTTGTCTTTTCAAAGTTCAATGTATTATTGTGATTGTTGTATCTTTCTTTCTTTTTTAATGTATTTGTTTATTTTTTATTTTTTTAGCTCCCACTTACAAGTGAGGACATGAGGTATTTCTCTTCCTGTCCCTGGCTTATTTCATTTAACATAATTTTCTCCAAGTTCATCCATATTGTGTGAATGGCAGTATTTCATTCTTTTTTATGGCAGAGTAGTATCCATTTTGTATATATATCACATTTTCCTTATCCAGTTATCTGACAACGGACATTTAGGTTGGTTCCAACTCCTGGCTGCAATAAACATGGGAGTACAGGTATCCCTTCGACATGATGATTTCTATTCCTTTGGGCATATACCCAGCCATGGGATTGCTGGATTGTACAGCAGTTCTATCTGTAGTTGTTTGAGGAATCTCCATTCAGTTTTCCATTATGGCTGCACCAATTTATTGTCCCATCAACAGTGTAGGAGTATCCCCTTTCTCTGCATCCTCGCCAGCATTTGTTATTCTCTGTCTTCTTGATAATAGACAGTCTCACTGGGGCATTTAAGGGTTTATGAAAATAAAAGCTACAAAAATTTATAAGGAAAATATATAATAAGATAACCAGCATTCTAACACTTAATAGTTAGGTAATTAAAAAAACAAAGTGACTAGGAGAATGAACAAGGTAGTCCCAATTGGATTTGGTCTATAGATCTTCTCATATGAAAAGATATATAAACATAAAAAGGTAAAAAATAAAATTCAAAAAGAAATAGTTACACAAAGACAGTACAGTAGCAGCATAATTGTTTTATGATG